TAAGTCCCGGTGATGACGTGGTCACACTGGGCCCAAGCAGAGTCCACGTCGCCACACTCCAGCTGCAAGTGCGTGCACACAGACAACAGGGAGCTCGTTTAATCCATGGAGACACAAACACAGTCCAAGGGGGAGTCCAAGGTGGCTTGTCACGCCGTCATAGCACCGGTGCACCGATTTGGCGATGTCGGCATGTGGAAACCAATGCATGTACCTAACCCGGATGATGGTGTCGTGTCGTGTCGTGCTGTGTTTTGTTTTGTTGTCCTCGGTTAAGGGCCATCCCCACCCACCCCATCACCCACCACTCAAAGTGTCCCACCACCACCTCACCCCACCTGTCGTCACTCACTCTTAACATATGTGGCCCCCCTCACCTTCCCGGTGTAGTCCTCGTAGAAGGCCCCCGCTTCAATGGCCTCCTCGATGGACATGACAGCGGGCAGGTCCTCATACCCCACCTCCACAACACGGGCACCCGCGCGAGCCGCTGCCTCGCTGGTAGCAACCACGACGCCAATCACCTGCGTGTATATGTGTGTGGGGGTTCAAAGCCGGGACGGGACGGGGACGGGACGAACAGAGCAGAGTAGAAGCAGGGCAAGGTGGGCAGACCAATGCAATGGGGGAGCAAAAGGAAACGAGCACATAGGGCAGGGCAGGGCAAGGCACAGCTTGTCACGATACCCCAACAGGCAACGAACAAACGCAGACAAGCGACAAGTGAGTATCCACACATGTCGGAACAACATCGCCTCATCGATGCGGCAAAAAAGTTCGCTACGAACAACAACAAGCGAGACGCCCCACCATGCAGTAACAACGCCCACCACGCAACAATAGAACGAAGCATAAGAAAACGCGTCGGCACACGAAAACTCGAGGCCCACACGCGAATTCACAGCCGAATGCACAAATCCCCTTTCTGATCTCCACAAAATTTTCAAACCTGGAAAGACCTTAAGAACTACCCGCTCTCAACGCAAGCATACACGGGCTGGCCCCCGCCCTTCCGCCCCAGCACACACAGCGATCTCCGCATACCTGGCCCACAGCGGTGACCTCGCTGGTTGCAAACACCTCCTCATCGTACCACACAGGTCCGATGGCGTTACTGCCCGGTACGTCCTTGGCGCTGTAAAACCCCACCACGCCGGGAACCTACACGGTCCCGGGGAGGAGGTTAGTTACATTGGCGTGAAGGTGGTGGTCGTGGAGGTGGTGGGATAGGGTGGCGTGAAGGTGGTGGGATGGACAGGATAGGGGTTAGGAGGGGTTACATTTGGGGTTGGGTGATGCGCGTGGGGGGTTTGGGGTTGGGATTATACTATGCAGTGAAAGTCAAAGAAACAACTGCCGGAGTCCAAAGCTTTTTTCACTTGGGCTTCTTTTTCGCTGGTTGGGGTTTTTACCTGCAGCGCGGCGCTCGCATCCAGCTTGGTGATCTTGGCGTGCGGCTTGGTGGATGTGACCAGCGCCGCCACCAGGGTGTCCTGAGTCATCTTGATGTCGTCCGTGTACTGGGCCTCACCGCTGACCTGCGGAGTACAGTACGGCGGGTGGGGGGTAGCGATGAGGGGTGCGGCCGGAATCATGTACAAGAAATAAGGGGCGAGGGGTGTGGGGTGAGGGCGGAACGATGAACGAGGGGGAGCTTTGAAATGCAGGAGGGGGGTGGTAAGGTGAACCCCTGGCGAATGAAGCAGATACCAGAGGAAGGGGGGGTTGAGTGAGAATCAGAGACCAGGTAGACGCGTTGCTGCCGGTTCGAAGACGCATGTACGTCCAACAGGGTTGTGTATGGTGTACCAGGACTCCAGGAGGGCTGGCTAAGAGGAAGAACGGACCGACGAGACGAGAGAGGAGTGCGAGCCGTCACGGTAACTAATCGGCTTTTGTTCTCTCCCTCGCCACCTCCCAACCCCCACCTTTCCTCTTCGTCCTCCTCTCCCTCGTGCGTCTCAGGCAAGCACCTTCCCTGGTGCTCAAGAAAAAGGAGCACGCGCGCACAGCACAAAAACACCCCTACTAAGCCCCAGAGACCCCTCCCCGCACACGCCCCGCCCACCTGCAGCTCGGCGGCCATGTGGTGGTGCGGCTGCCCGACAACCGACACAGTCTCTGGAGTGGCGGGAGCCTGTGGCAGCAAATTGCGGTAGCGGCAGCCGATAGCGGCGGCGCACAAAGGCGACAAGTTCAACTCGACACACACGCGCATATATAATAATCACAAACACAGTCATAATCATAATAATAATACGTACAAAGTCCCCGTGGAAGGACTTATAGGGCGACTTATAGTTGAGCGAGGCGGCCAATGGGGGGCCGACGAACCACAGAAGAGTGATGCTGACACCACAGATAGACAGATACTCCAGGATTAGACACATACTGCAAAAATTGCCGATGGGGTTGAGGTGGCACACCAAACGCAACAACACCTACTAAAACCCACCCGAGCATGCACTCGGGAGATAGGGCAATAGGTCAACTCTGCAACCGTCACGGTTGCAGGACGCCGTGTCCACGTATCGAGGAAAGTACATTGGGTACCATGATGCGATATCTACGCATGCGGCATATCCCCTCCTACAACCCTTTTGAAGAGAGAAATGCAAGTTAACGAGGTGAAACACGCACATGTGCACGGTACATCTATGTATGTATGTATGTACATTTATTGCTCGGAGCAAAGGCTGGGTTCTAGTGCGTACCTCTGGATTCGCGTAAAACTGCACACCGTGGGCGGGGTGCCGCTCGTACGGCTTTGCGGCGGAGGCGTAGTCTGCACCGTGGCACACCAAGGCGGGTCCAAGGCAAGGAAACGCCGACGCAATGGGATTAACAGAAGATTTAGGAATGCATGGAATCCCGAAGAGGTTTTACTGCAGCTGACAGCAGCGGTACATGATGCAAGTGGTACTGCACGGTACGGTATCGTACGCTGCCCTTCGTTATACAGCTCGTTAAATAAGCGAATTCTATCCAATATTTCCTGAGGCGTCGAGTAGTAGATAGATAATAACTTACCGGCCGGTAGGTTCGCCCTGTACGCGGACTCGGTGTCGGCCTGCTTGCATGTGTGGTTTCGGAGCAGTCAGCCAAGTCAGATCATATCCCGTCAGACAAGCGTAGAATAATGTGGATAGGCAGGGAAAGGAAACGGGACCAAAGCCACGTAGACCCGTGTGCCGAATGGTAAAAGCATCTCCCGACGCGTCCGGCGTCGGGGCCCCCTTCCGCGTAGCCCCAGGGCCAGGGCCATACACATGGGGCAATACCCGGCATGATGTATAAGGCCCTCCCTCTCGCCCTTCGCCCGAACCCCGCCTCCACTAACTTACTGGCTCCCCTCCTTCCCGTGCTTTCTCCCCCTCTTTCCCACTCGACCTTACCTCCAGTGTAATCGCGGCGTGCACAAAGAACTTGAAAACGAACGAGGCCGCCAGGGCGCGGCGGTACTCCACCTTGCCACCCGGGGCATTCTCAACCAACACAACATCCTGACGAACAGCCGCCAGCGCCGCCTGCAGCCCAACCAGCAACCCAGCAAGTGACCCACGGGTCATCCTCATGGAGAAACAGGATGGCAGCGGCAGGAAACGCATTAGCAACTAATGTCTTTCCAGCGTAAACACCACAGCAAGCAACTTAAATCTTTACAAACAGGTTTCCATTGTCTCTTATATAGCAATTGCACGACAAGAAGGTTGCGTCGTCCCGTACAATGAAGCAACTCCCTCTCCCAGTGTCTTTTAATGGTCTGATGTGTGCATTTCCCCCCATTCCCACACCCCGCCACCCCCACCTGCAGGGTCTCCTGGTCCCAGGGTTTGCCCACCAGGGCTGCAGCCACGGAGGGGGCCATAATGGCGCGAGGGGCCACACCCCCGAAGGCCACCGCGGCCTCCTCCACAACCCACACGCCCTCAGAGTCGCCCCTGGCCAGCTTCACACGCATGCCTGCCGGCAAGGCGGTCACAGGAAGGCTGGAAACTTGGAAATCAACTCTTAAGCACTGCTAACATGCAAAAATGACACCAGCTGTCCTAACTGCCCAAGTGATCCCGGCTTAGTGGGGAAGGGGAGGGAAAGACGGGTAACAAGCGAATGATTGGAGCCGAGCGGAATAAGCCGCCCGAGGCACCGCAAAAGCTCTACCAGAGAGCAATGGTTTTGAATGGCCTTTCCAGGGCACTCTGCCATCCCCAGCGCTCTGCCACTCTGCCAACCGCTCGCCGCATGCCAGGTTGCAGCCGCCGCCGGTCGCTGCTGCCGTCACAGCAAACGCAGCCAGCCACCAAAGCCCCCATGCGAATGGAAAGCCCCCCTCCCCACCGCTCACCCGCGGAGGGGCCGCCCGAACCCGTCCAGACATCTCCTGCTCACCTGCATTGACAATGGCAATATCGTCCTCACGACGCGGGCTCTGCTTGAATTCCTTGACGTACTCGTTATGGCGGGTGAACGGCAGCACCACCTTGTACAACACCTCGTGAGGTCGTAAATCCACCTGCCTGCAGGTACGAAAGGGAGGAAAAGGGGACGGAATATAATGCCCGCTTTCAGGAATTACTCCAACATCGCCATCCTCTCCTCCCACGCGCGCACGAAATTCTCTCAACGCCTGTATTAAGCCCCTTTGATGCGCCGCCTCTCTTCCATCCCCGCCCCCAGCCCTCACTTCTCTGCCGTGCACATGTTGAGCCAATGTTCATTTACGTCGTGTAATATCGCATTCAGCCGCTGCTCGTGCCCTGCGTTTTAATGTGGGCGATGTTTTTCATTTTATCCTATTATCAAAAATGGGCCGTATACTTTTCCGAAGCACACATTCAGAAGGCAAACTGGTGCCTGCCAGCGCCTCGGATCATCTCCGGAAATGTCTTCATTTCCGAAGAGGGTTACGCAACAACGTTTCCCCCAATAAACACCACCACCACACCACTACCACCAACAACAACAATACAACACCAACGATGACGAACCTGTAGCCCAAGAAAAACTCTGAGGCACGTACGGCCCTCTCGCCCGTGTCCTTGCCCAGCGCCACAAAGGTAGCCCCCGCCGCCATCCACAGGGGGTTCAGGTCCGAGATGGGCGAGCCTGTCACGATGTTGCCACCCAGGGCGGACACGTTGCGGATCTGGTTGCCCGCAAACCACCTGCCACGTCGCCGGGGTTGTGCACACACGGCAGCGGGAAATGCGGTAAAGGCCCTTAGCTGCCGTGGAGACGGTGGGCGGAAACCATGAAGACAATGTACATGCGTATGTGTGTGTGGGGGGGGAAAGACGAACCACACACAATTGAAGCTGCTGCCAGGGCAAGAGTGTATCAAACGTGTATCAAACGTGTGTGTGAGGGGGGGGGGCCGGGGCAGGGTGTAAGACTTGTCTAGTAAACGGGGGATTCCCGGTTTCCACAACCTCCTAGTGTCGCGGTGCACGCTCGAACGCGAAAATAAAGGGAAAATTGTGCGGTCGGAGAGGGGGTTTCGGCAGTTGACGCGGGTCTTTTCCAACACTTGACCTGCTTGCTCTGGAGTTTCCTGCTGGTTGCCCTCCTGCTGCTACCTGAGTTGGTTCACAACGGCCTCCATGGCCGACACCTCGTGACGGGGCCTGCTGGCAATGAGCCCCTTGAAGGCCTTCATCATACGCGTCAGAGTTACCGCAGCGCCAATCTCCACGCCCGTCTCCGTTACTGTGATCTGCTCAAGCCGCCGGCCGTTCCGTGAAACACACACGCAAAGGCACGAGCACAGACGAACGAGATGTCGAATGAGGAAAAGGCGAAACGGCGGAGATAACGACAGATAACAACGAATGGTGATATTGGAGGTGGCCGCTCAAGCCGGAGCTCGTGAGGCTGAGGACGGATGATGGCAGAGAAGGCGGGCGGCAGTTCTTGAAAATACGGGTAATAGCAGGGGGTATGGAGGCAGGGGGCATTTGTGTGAGCCAGTAGGGCTCCGTGTTGCAGGGCCCCGCACACACGACTTCAACCACACAGTGGGTTTGCCCTGCAGAGCCCGTCCTATTCACCCAAAAACACCAAGCAGACAACATGCAAAAACAGGGACTAAATGGGCCGGGCTTCCTACTCGCGTCTCGGCTCATCAAAAACTCATAGGAGCTGGCCCCCGGACCCACTGCGAGAGCACACCTGGTTCATCTCCTTGACGTGCGTGGGCGCGATGATGACCGGGTACTTGGCATTCTTGAACTTCATCTCAATGCCCACCTCCGTGTTGCCCACCACCAGCTTGGCGTCAGGGTGGACGGACTTGAGCTCCAACAACTGCTCCAGGGTGGCAGGCCGGTGCCACGTCACGACGGGGCCTGGCGGAGTGGATGGTGGGAAAGGAGCAAAGATGGGAAAGGAACAGAGGGATAGGGGTAAATACATTCAACGTACGGGTACGTACATGCATACATACATACGCACGTACATCCAATAGACGCAAGTACCTGGCATGGCCAAATGGAAGGCAGGTCGCTTCTTCAACTCCGGGGGAAAGATGGGCTCGCAAGTGGGTCGAGCGGGAGCAGCAGCAACCGCAGCAGCAATCCCACCCGCCGCCTTCTTGCAGCAATTCTCCGCACCGCAACCGCTACTGGTTCCGTTGGTAGTTGCGACAGCACAACCGTTGACAGCCTTTTCCGTCGAGCCGCTGCCACAGCCGCCGCCTGCCTTGGAGGCGCAATCGCAGGGCATGCCGCTGGAAGGGCACACGCCTGATGCGCCATTCGCGGCAGTTGCAGTTCCGTTGGTGGTTGCGGTTGCAGTTGTTCCGTTGGCACCGGGGATAAGTCCCTTACTGGCAGCGATGGCTTCTTCTGTGTAGGCCGCCGGGTCGGTCTTGGCAAAGGTCTTGAAGGCGTCTAGGATAGGTCGGTATCCCGTACAGCGGCTGAGGAAGCAGGCCGAAGGCATAGACGGGCAGGGGGCGGAAGAGCAGGCGGAGGAGGAAAGGGGTAATCATCAGCAAGACGCAGCAAAGGGTAGCAACTGCTGACGTCCAAATCCCCAACTGCTTTCTGCCCATGGACAGCAGAAGGAAGGAGGGGAGGGGGAAATACGGTTCATCTCAAATACGGTCCATTTGGGTGTCAGCATTTTGGACCCAGATGTGGGCCTAGCAGATGGGGCGATGGGGAGCCTTTGTAAGGGGTTTGGCACATGGGGAGATAGGACGCGCCTGGCCCAGATGGATGGGAGGAAAGGTGGGAAGGATCGATCAACATCCGCCACGTAACGACCAGCATTCCATGAGCTCAGGGCATCCAGAGCCTCTTATGTCTGTAGCGGTCGCCTCAAGCCTCGGCCTCGCTGCCTTGCATCGCTCGCTTTAGAGGCTATAGGTTAGGTCTCTAAACATAAAGCTCCTCCTAAGGTTAACCCAATTGCATTTTCTGATACCCCTCGTATGTTTTGGGGTGGCTGCGTTTCTTAAAAGATATTTTTGGGTCCAATCCAATCCAAGCAAAAGCTTTTGGGTCCAATCCAATCCAAGCAAAAGCTTTTGAGACCAATCCAATCCAAGCAAAACAAGTTAATCACGTCGGCGAGCTGCATCACCCTGCGTGCGCATATCTTCTTCTTCTTCTTCTTGCAGATAGACTGGGCCGCGTTGACCAACCTCAGTCCTGCCATCACAGCCTCACCCCACCGGACCTCCTCTGCGGACCATACTTCAAATTCAAATTGCCTCACAACAAAGTTGCCTGGACAGATCGACCGACCGCGCATTTCCATTCACACATCTTCATGCCCGTCGTCTGGTGCTACCTACCAAAGGTTTCCGCCAAGCGCGTCCTCGATGTCTTCTTCCGTAGGAGCTTCCTCGCAGGAACGCAGCAAGCTGTACATGGACATTACAAAGCCGGGTGTGCAGAACCCGCACTGGGAGCCGTGCATAACTGCCAGGCGCTGTTGTACAGGGTGCAAGCCATCGCGCACGTTGCCCAGGCCTACGGTCGTGCGAGAGATTTGGAAGTCAGGGGCAGCCAGTCCAGGGTTTGGTAGGACGGGAGGGGAATAAGGTATTCGGGGGAGATGTCGCCAGGACAACGTAGGCATGCGACCCAGATGGTGAGTAGCAGGAAACTGAAGTTTGACTACTGCAGTCTACTTGGCAAAGAGTCAACGGAGGCCCGAGTCGGAGATCCAGTCGTGATGTTTTACGAACAGTTTTGTGTAGGAACCTTTGAATGCACACCAAGAGCCCACCTACCTTCAACCGTAACGACTTGCATTCCCTCCACCGCGTAAAGCGGGCAAAGACATGCATTCGCCGACCGGTGAACGACGCGGCCATCCTCATAATGTGACAGCATAACTGTGCAAGCCCCACATCCACCCTCGCCGCATCCCAGCTTCGTTCCGGTCAATCCATTCTCTGCATGTCAAAGTTTTATTAAAAATGTGCACGACTCACGTGCAGCTCGTGGGGTACAATTACAGAAGTTTCCGTGGGCGACTTTGTAAACCTAAGTAAAATTATTATCATTCCATGGAATCATAGACCAGCCCAGCGCATAAGGTCTCATCACACGCTGAGACGGTCCGTTGTAGGCTAAGTCCACAGCGTGTGTGCTGGCGGCCTCACCCCTTAAGAACTGAAGTAAGGTCGCCTCTCCACGATCAGCCGGCAAAGCATAGCGTTTGCCATTTATATAGCAGACTGGCTCCGGCGCGCTGGGCGACTCCACCCTCAGCATTTCTGTTACTTGGATAGATTGAAGCAAGGATTATACGCCACGTACCTCCTGGCAAGTCAGGCACGAAAACAGGTAGTTTTGAAATGCCTTGAAGCAAAGGAAAGTCCCGTGGACCATATGAGAGGAAAGCGGTTGGTCGTTGAAAATGTCACCCTTTACCTTTTCAATTGCGCTTTATAATGTGCTGGTCGATGTCAAATGATGAAGTACAAAACACTGTAATTATAGATCACGGGTAAGAGGTACTGCTAATAATGCAAGTCGGCTTTATTTGCCAGCTTGTTAGCTGAGCAAACTTCACCAGAATGAATAAGAGTGCAACCTCCGCAAAGGCATCCAATTGAATAAACCACGTGGAAAACGCAAGGTCCGATCGCAACGTGTTTGGTGTGTACGAAAAGCGATTGGATTTGGTAAAAACGTTTTATGCACCTGCGCGCAGAGGTCTTACAGTTCTGCATAAGATACAGTTATCGTTGAATGTCAATTTAGGATTTGGAAGTCGTTGTAATCTTTCTCATGTCATGTCCATGTGGTCCGATAAGGCCAAGGAACTCTGTCATCTCGTCGTAACACAAGCAGTGCGCGGTACCTGCGATTTACCATGAAGAGGCGCATCGCCGCCGCCATGTCCCACATTTCAAGCCCGGGCGCCAGGGGGTGCGATATGTACGTCTGGGCCTAGTACGAGCGGCACAAACCCGACAATACCCGACACGTCAGCTTTCCCGTCCATGTCGGCATCCGCATTTCCTCAATACCCCCAGAAGCTGTGCTGCGTCAATCTGACACCTGGACACCTCCCATTCAGCATCTTCCCGAAGTCTTTCGTAAGCACGCGCACTCGTGCACACATGTTCCCCTCTTCGTGCGTATGCTGTAGCCGCTGCGTTCGCTTGCGCTGTGCATGTGCTCGGGTGAGACAAACCCGTCTGTAGAGCTCCACGCGTACACCTCACGCCGCGGCTCGCTGCCCTGTTGCCTCAAGGACAGCTTTACGTTCACGTTTCCAACTTGGAAAAGAGTGAGGCGGTGGCGTATCATAGTCGAAAAGGGCATGATATGGCTTCCACGTTGGTTCGCCAGCCCCAGCCGTTGCCATTGTGATTGCCTGTTGTGGGTTGTGAGGCGGGGAGGCGGGGTGGGTTGTGAGGCCGAAGAGCATACCGTATGCTGATGTATTGTATGTAAGGCAAGGAATGCTGCATGCGATGCGGTCAGTCCTCCAGCAATATCAACGCCAGGCCAGACCAGACCACCGAACCAAGTAGTAAGATTTGTTGGCTTGGGCGTGAAGGTCCGAAGCGATTGTAGGAAATAGAGTAACTCTTTCCTTGTCATCCTCTTCGATTATATCCAGGAGTGACCGCGTCCCATTTGGTTGATCCCTATGGCTCGTCAAATTTGGTTGTCCCAATTTTTTCACTTATTCCTTGCTAATTCCCCCAAAGGGGACTGAACTTTTCAAGGTCTTTCTGTACAATTGTCGTACAATACTGGATCCGGTCGGTGTCGCAGCTTCTAGTGGTCCCACTCAACCGGTTCTGCCATCCATGCAGTTGGTCTGAGGACTGGCCGCTGGTATCGTCTCAAAAGGAAGCGTCGTTCTATGTCCGACTGAGAGCACGTCGTACAGCCATCCTAGCTCTTCCTAGCCTGTACAGGACCTTCACGCCTTTGGTTTAGAAGGCAATGCTACGGAGCGCATGGTTGGCGGCATGATTTACCCGAGTTGCACATCATTACAAGATGATGTGCTTTGCGTGTACAGGATCGCCTGCGGACAGCTCTAGGTTGCGGGTGGGAAAGTTGTAACGCCCTATTGTCTGTAGTCGTTTCCGGGTGCTTTTGCTGCGCTGCAAGGAATCCCATACGTAATAAGGAAGGCCAGTATGGATTGCTTTGAGGGATGTCTCCTGCATCGGGACGCATGGTAGGGAAGTGTTTGTCCTGCAGGCTCATGAACTCGCCCCCCCAAATTCCGCCTAAGACCGGCCAGTACAACGCAAATATTTTCATCGTATGGAGCTTTAATCCTGTATCAACAGTAATTAAATCGACCTTGAATTGCTACAGCGTTGTCAGGCCACAGCTGGAGGCCTTCCCTTACCTGCTTACCTACTTCAATTAACGACACTCATTCTTGGAATAGTCAGCTTACGGATACGAATAACAATTCACCCATTTGGGTGTTCCCTTTAGCGAGGCACAGTTATACAGACTTGAATTCGTTGACTTAAGTTAGCTGAAAGTTATTATGGCACGGGTCGTTGAAGCAGTGCAAATCTTTAAGAAGGTAGAGGACGTTACAGCGGCTAAGGATGATCCTTCACCTGGTAAGCACTTATTTTGGTCGATGACTGACTCCGGCAGCATCCATGGTTACTTGGCTGAAAATGGGCTTAGGGTCCGTGTGCGTGATGTGGCGTGGGTGGTTGAGCGCTGCTGAAGTGCTTGGTCTGAAGCGGCCATGGAAATGCCCAATCCTGCAGTTTACCTCATGGACGAGCTCGCGGACATGGCGCGTGGATCTGCGGAGTCCTCTGAAAAAATTGCTGATCGCATTGCTAAGCGACTGCAGAACAAGTCTTCAGTAGTCAAATTTAAGGTGTGTCTGCGGTGTGTTTCGACAGTATGGCGTGTCCCTTGCCCGTAGCAAGTTCCGCATAATAATCAGCGGGGCCGCTTACGCTTTCACAGGCCCTACGCCTCGTTCGACACCTCGTTAACAAAGGTTGCGGCCAGTTCCAGCGCTCCATGCAGCGGCATGCCAACCTGGTCAGGTGAGACGTCTTGCTTCGCCAGCCCTCGAGAAGCTTCCAGTCTTCCTTCGCATCTTACACCCACACAGGGCAGGGCAGCCACCCACCCGCCCTGAGTTTCTCCCAACACGCATACTCCACCACATAGCCAGGTCACACGCATGCCCAAACCGGCCTGCTGTTCTTTCCATGAATGACCAACGAATACACCGCCTCGAATCAGTTTCTTTCGAAGAGTTGTGCAGCAGACAAGGCCCGCTGGGTCACGGCCGCGTGCACTGGGATGATCTCCCGCTCCTCCCTGGAGGTTCCCTTTCCCCATCACCAACCCTTCTTGCATCCTCCTCCCCTGCACCGGACACCATCTCCAGGGAACACATCCATTTTAAAGGGGAGCTAGATCCGTTTAAGGGTGATGCGCTCAACCAGCGTGTGCGCGACGCGGCCAAGGAGGCCTCGGAGTCCCTCTTCAACACAGTCATGGCGCAGCCTGTCACCAGCCTGGGGGTAAGCTGCGGCAGCGACGGGGGCAAGCAGTAGGTAGGTAGGCTGCCCTCGCCACCGCCTTGGGCCCCTTGGTCCGTAATCGTTCTGGAAATGGCCAGACTGGCACTGGAGAGAGAGGAGGGAAAGGGCACTGGGAGCGAAATAGCCTGTGTGGGTACCTCAGGCGGATTGCGCGAACCTTGTTACTTACTACCTCAGTAAGGGTTTGGAACCAGACGCTGGGGTCACAGCGGCTGTGGAGGCCACAACTTCCGGCATTTGTTACATGAACGCGCACTGTGTTCCGATATGCGGTGTGTGAGGAGCAAGACGCAGTATCTGGTGCTGCCTGCTGATGCCGAAACCAGTGCGCGCGTGGATAATGTGTAAAGCTGCGGTATTCCACTAGCGCTCACCCATAAGCAACATCCACAGTAGCGGTGGTGACGTGACGCGACGTGCACGCAGAGCCGCATTCAAGGCTTCGGCAGCAGCGCGGCGCCTCCACCTCCACCGTCCACTCAAAATAACAACAACAACAGCAGCAGCAGCAGCAACAACAACAACAACAACAACTGCTCTGGACCCGGCAGCGCGTCCGCCACCTCTAGCTCCCGAATGGTCGGCTTCGGAAGCAACAGCAGCAGCAACAGCAGCTACACGAACCCCACGAGCACCGGGAACGGAAGCGCCAGCCTTGGAACGTCGTCCCTTTCTCAAAAGGTACAGCGGGCATCGGGTTACTGCTGGACAGGGACTTCCGCGGTGCAGTGTGGCTTATCCATATCAGCCACGTTCCTAGGCTTCTACACCTGATGCAGGAGGCCGGGAGTTTAAGCGGGGAGTTCTTGAGTCATATACCTTAAGTAGGCCAGAAGTTTCATATGCCTTTTTCCAGGAGTCCAAAGCCTTTACTAGTGATGGGGAATTTGACTATAATTATATCTTGTTTTAAGTTGAGGTTTATGCGGAGGCTGGACTGATGCGGAATCGGGAAACCTATATCTTTGAGTAGGACGGGCAGGAGGTAGCTATGGGGCCCGCAGACAGGCGGCAGGTACCTGCGACGCTGTGTGGGCTCGCCGCGAGGGGGGACTTTCCGGTGCGGCGTTGCGTTTTCCCAACTTTCGAATTTCCATGTCCGGGGATCTTACGACCCTGTGGCGTGTGGGAGTGCTGCTGCTGCTGCCGCTGCCTTTGCCTTCCTGATGATGTGTTTAAGAGCAAATTGAACCGCCTCCACTTTAAGATGATCTTCCCAGTCATGTGGTTCCGAAAGAGGAGCCTCCATTGAGTCCAGTCCCCATTGCACATGATGCCAACTTGTCTCCTCGCATCTCTGTGCAAACGCACGGCGGCCGCCCTTGCTGTGGGGCGCTAAGGGCGTCAACCGCCCACTGACGGGGAGCTATGGGGACGCTGGGGGCGCGGGCGCTGCAGCGAATAGCTCTACGGGGGGCTATGCGGCTGGCGGGGTGGGTTACACCGCGCCAGCGTTGACGCCGTCGGAGGTGCTTGGCTCTGAGGTGCAGCTCGTGGACAGCATTTGCACACCGGGAGGTGAGGATACACCAGGTTTTTCAGGGGGAGGTGTGAGTGGGAAGAGGTTTCTGTGCATGTGTGGGGTGCGGTGTGTGTGTCTGTGTGTATGAGAGAGAGAGGGGGGCCCCCGGGGATGTGGCGGTTTCCAAGGGTTCCCATGGTTTCGGAGATAATCGCCTCCAGGCTGGACTCCGGTCGGGTGGGGACCTT